CACATCTCAGAATCAGTGCATGCATGGCAAGTGTACAATGAAGTGCAAGGAACATCAATGTCAATATCAATGTTCAAAAACTCATCAATGCAAAAACTACATGTTTCAGAATTAGTGCATGCATGACAAGTGTATGAATCAGTTAATGACGGAGCATGAAAATCATGAAGAAAATTAGAAAGGTGTGTATCATTTAACTCATGAAGCAAATCAAGGTGGAAAACAGAGTGGCCCTCGGATGGATGCTTTAAAGCATCAAAAATGTTAAACCGAGCCACTTTATCATCGATTTCCATAGAAAGTGTCCCAGCATGGACATCGATCTTGGTTCGGGCTGTTCTCAAGAATGGTCTCCCCAAAATAATTGGAACTGTGTTACTGCGGGATCCCTCTTCCATATCAAGAATGTAAAAATCAGTATGAAAGATCAGTTGATCAACCTGAACCAAGACATCCTCTACCAAACCGGCAGGGTATGCAGTAATCCTATTTGCTAATTGGATTACCACACCCGTAGGTTGCAAGGGTCCAAGTGAAAGGAATTTAAATACATTCATAGGCATAACATTAATGGATGCTCCTAAATCAAGCATGGCATTTTCAAATTTTCTATTACCTATGATGCAAGATACAATAAATGTATCTGGGTCCTTACACTTTTCAGGGATGTGAGGAACAGACATACCTATCATGGCAGAAACATTCCTTCCCATGTTGATCCTTCCATTACCTTTCAGCTTCCTCTTGTGAGTGCACAATTCTTTTCAAAAACTTGGCATATCTCGGAATCTGCTTGATGGCATCAAGGAGAGGTATGTTCACCTCAACCTTTCTAAATGTATCTAAGAGGTCCTTGTCCAGCTTTTCCATATTCCCCATCTTCTTGGTTGAAATAGTTTTTGGTGGAAATGGAAGAGGAATGGAAAATGGTTGTTGTGCAGCACTTGAGGAAAGTTGATTTGCATGAGTTTCTCTAGTTGTGTTCTCATTTTCTACTAAAACAGATTTATTCCTTTTTGATGCATCATGTTCTTTTTGAAGAACAAAATCTGTTCTAGGTGTAGGCACTTCAGTCTGTTTGCCTGATCTAAGGGTGATGGCACTCACATTCCTTGGGTTAAGCACAGTCTGAGAAGGTAACTTGTCAAAATTCATTGACTGCAATGTGTTTAGTGAAGTAGCCATCTGCCATATCTGGGTAGTTAGATTCTGAATTGAAGACTCTTGTCTTTCACCATTTTGTTTCTAGGTTTTGGGGTTTCTTATTATCAATATTTTTCAAACACCATCTCCAAATAGACACTCTATACTATGAGTTTTCAAGAAATAAGTTAACTAAAACGAACTACTACATCAAGGGAGAGAGTTAGGTCGTTTTCCAACTCAAAGAGAAGAGACCCCAATAACCATAATGAATTTCTAAATAAGGAGAAGTGTTAAAATCAAGAGGTTTACCTCTTCTCTAGCTTATCGTAGCTTTTATGCGAGCTCTAGCCAAGAAAATCGCTTCCTCTTCTCCTTTCTCTCAAAAACCTCCCCCGTTTTCGTGTTTGGGGCTCTATTTTAGGTTTCAGGATTTTAGATTCTCGCCCAAGCGAAAATATGTCGCTCAGGCGAGAGACCCCGCCTTTTAAATTTTCAAACACTGACGCTCTCGCTCAAGCGAGAATCCCACAGTGTCAGCACACTCTCTCTCGCCCAGGCGAGCCACATCTCGCCCAAGAGAGGCTCCCAGATAAAATTCTGGGAGAAATACTGATGCCCTCGCCCAAGCGAGACTTTCTCGCTCAGGCGAGAATCAGTCAGTAGCTCCCAGACTGACTGAGTTTCACCATGTTTCAATTATCAAACTTTTAGGGGGTTACAGTTGATTTTTGTGATTGAATGATAACTTTTATTTCATCAGAAACTGCCTCAATTTGCTTAAAGACACATTTTCTTTCGAGTAATTCAAACAATATTCTCTAGTGTCATCTTGAGAACATTGATTAAACCCAAATATATTGCCCCAATGGGTGAGAGATAATTTCAAGAGTGTTTGAACCAATTGTATAAGCTGAGTGAGGATAATCTAACCTTTATTTTTAAAAAAAAAATATAAGAATGATTTGTTATTTTTTAAATTAATTATAAATAACAAAACAAATAAATAATTAATTATTCGTAATAGTTACTATTAATTTTAGAACTAGTTACTAATTAATTAACAAATATTTTTTACTAATAATTTTAAATTAATTATAAATAAAAAAACAAATAAATAATTATTGGAAATATTTACTATTAATTTTAAAACATGACATAATAATCTAATAAATAATTAAAAAATTACTAATGATCTTACCAAGTTAATAATAAATAATTATCTAATTTATGTCATTGAAAATCATTTTCAATGAAAATAGTAGAAAAAAATGAAAACCTAAGATTTCTCTACCTGAATTCTTTTGAAGATTAGCAATAAGATCTTTGTCTACACTCTAAAATTCAAAACATAATGTAATTACCTTACCAAAATTTTGAAATTTTATTCTGATCTTAATGCATTGTCCAAACTTTTCATTATACAATAAAATAAATCATTATAAAATTTAATATATGTACTTATAAAATATTAAGTTTTAAATAACTATGACAAACTCAAATAATTAGGCAAAAGCAAGGTCATATATGTAAAAAATAATCTAGTTAATTATTTAATTTGGGAAAATTGCATAAAACTTTCATTATGTATTTTTGCAAATAGGCACCATGAACTATTTTTTATTCCTAATTATCTCTTAAACTTAACTTTTTTTTATGAAATTGGTTCTTTCATAAACAAAATGTTAAATTACTAATAGGAGAAGAAAGGATAATGCAAGTTATCATTGAACAACGTTAATTCTTTATCATTCTATACATTTTTTTATCTAATTGAATAATTACATTCTTAGGATTCTCATTTATATCATATATGATGCTAATCAATTTTATTACTATTACAAGTTCTCTAATATAAAATTTAATATATAAAACATCAAGACCATATAAGCATGATCAAGTTTATAATATATAATATAATTTTTCTCTATACCGTGAATAAAAAAATGTGCAACACACATGAAGAGTTAGTAGTAATGATAAATTAAAATCCACATATATATCAATAACAATCAACACTTTATTAAGAGAAATATAAATGAATTTTGACAATTAATCCGAATATTTCAAAAGAATTAAGTATAATAAATGGTGGAATAGCCATGATGCAATCATGTTGAGTGTATCTTCAATAATTAGAAGAAACACCATCACTTCGACATCTATTTATAGCAGAGCAGCCACGGGTATAAGGATTTGCCTTGATAGGAGTAGGTCTAGGTCCTTTTTTACATTCTGGCCTTTTATTTCCACTTTTTTTACATAATTCATCTATATTACCCATCACACCTTGGTTCAGTAAAGCCATACTTATAAGAAGAGCACAAAGAAATATCAAAACCTTCATCTTATAATAAAAAAGATGATGTTTTGATCTTCTTTGTGCTCTATAATACTTTGCAATTTGCAATTATCAGACAATTGTATATATACTCAATTTTTTTGTGTGGTTAAAGTTAATATGTGGTTTGGCTTTAATTTGTGCTACATAAAAGGGTTAATCTTAGGTAATTTGTTATTAGATGAAAATGGATGGTTTCTATGACAAAGGTGGTTGTGGTTGTTTCAATCATTGCTATATTTGTATTTATGACTCTTAAAATGAATTTAAATTTCTTTTATTTTAGTTAATTGCCAAATTTTGGTGTTTCTTGGTAAAAAACTTTTTTTTATTTGAAAAAAAAGAATAGAAAATTTATAAGCTTACATATTTCACTAAACTTAACTTTCATATCGTTTGAGAGAGTTTCTTGCTGTGAAAAAAAGTTGTTAGTTTTCTTTGGTCCGTAAGAGAGATAGGATATTTGAGGATTATTCATTGTGCTTAAACTTTCACATTCATTTTGGAAAACCAAGTTTAATCACACATAGTTTCTTTCAGTCTTTATGAGATTTATAGGCTGGGTTTTTAGCGCTTTTACTGGTTATATATCCGCACATTTTAGGTGCATTGTAACTTGGATATTTAGACGATTTTGTAAGAAATCATAGTTGCGGTTAGGCTGTCGTCTTCACCTTTACAAAGGTCTTGGTTGGGAGTGATCATCGGTTGGGGCTATACCGTGAGTAGGTGAGGATTATCCAAAAGAAGCGGGTTGGAGGTCAACCGACGTAAGAGACTCTAGGGCCAAGAAGGGAGCATTTATTAAGTTTATTTGAAAGATTGTTTTGTAAAAACATTATTCAAATAGTGAGAAAATCTCCCAAGATCAGAATTGGAGGTCTGAATGTAGTTTGCAAGTGGACCCGCAAATGAACCAGGATAAAAGATCGTCGTCTCAATTTTCTTGATCCTTTATCTCTTTACTTTTCACTGGTTTAAAGCTTTACATGTTTTAGTTGATTTATTTACTGAGTTTAGTGCATGTTTTGTCTCTGTTATACATATTGGCACAAATTTATTGAGTAGATTGCATCTGATATTGGTTGAAAACGTTGTATCTTTTAGTGCGAGAAAATTGTTTTTCAAAACCGCAATAATCGGGTTAATCGATTAAACTTGTTGTTAATCGATTAATCACAGCATGAGCTAATCGATTAAGAGCGAAGCAGTCATAATCAACTAAAGCTTTACATGTTTTAGTTGATTTATTTACTGAGTTTAGTGCATGTTTTGTCTCTGTTATACATATTGGCACAAATTTATTGAGTAGATTGCATCTGATATTGGTTGAAAACGTTGTATCTTTTAGTGCGAGAAAATTGTTTTTCAAAACCGCAATAATCGGGTTAATCGATTAAACTTGTTGTTAATCGATTAATCACAGCATGAGTTAATCGATTAAGAGCGAAGCAGTCATAATCTATTAAATAGTGAATTTTTCTAATATATAATTAGCCGGAAAAAGTGTTAATTCGTTTCCGCTCACACCTATTCACCCCCTATAGGTGTCATTTTTTCTATGGCATACCCAACATATCTCGTTTGGGGGAAGAGTGGTACTCATTAATTCAGTGCTTATGAATATGTCTATGTACATGTTCTCCCTTTTTAAAGCTCTGAATATGGTAATTTCAAAATTGACCTCTTTACCAAGAAACTTTCTTTGGAGTAATAGGTGAAGATAAGGGTATTCCCTGGGTTGCTTGGGCTGAGGTGTGTCAGCCAAATAAATTTGATGGATTGGGTGTCAAAGATATGTCTCGATTTAATGATGTTCTCTTAGGAAAGTGGAAATGGAGAAAACTGGTGGAGCCTGATGCACTATGGGTTAGAGTGTTCAACTCAAAGTATGGTAAGGAATGGGTCTTTAACTCTACTTCAGGGTTATGGCTCTAATTGGCTAGAGGACAATCTTTGGAAGGAAATTGGTGATAGATTACACACTCTTTTTTTGCAGGATACATGGTTTGGTCAGAGTAGTCTAAAAGGTACATTCCTGAGAATATATATGTTTGCTTTGGAGAAATAAGTGGTTGTTACTGATAATGGAACGTGGACTAATGGGAAGTGGAACTTAAACATTCAGTGGAGGATGAACTTAATTGACTGGGAGGAGGAGTCTGTTATATATCTCTATGAGCTCATTCAAAATCACTCATGCACTACTAATATGGCACCTAGATAGATCAGGCACCTAGATAAATGGAAATTGCACCTACATAGATCAGGCAACTATGTGGTGAAGACTACTTATATGGCACGGTTGAATTCATTAATGCATATCCATGTAATCTTCTAAATTTATGTTGGATATTAATTGTGCTCCTCCAAAGGTTTGTTGTTTAATTTGGAAAGTTTTGAGAGGAAGAATAGCAATAAAGATTGAGCTTCATAAGAGGAATATAGTTGGGGTGGATGACTTGAGTTGTGTGATGTGTGCTGCATGATGAGCATTCAGATCATCTGTTTTTATCTTTCCCATTTGTTTCCAATGTGTGGAATGGTTTCTACTCGTGGTTACAAATTCAGATGATGTTTCTAAATACAATTGTGGAATTGCTTCAGATTCATGAGTGTTTTTGTAAAAAGGGTAAAAAAATATTTTTGTGGAGAATACTTTGGTTCGTAGTTATTTGGTCTATTTGGTGTACGAGGAATGATGTCATTTTTATAGGGGAAAGGTTAGTTTCACATAGATTTTGGATTTAATCCAAATTATATCTTGGTTATGGTTCTCCAAAAATATGAGATCTTTCTCTTGTGCTTTTACTTAATAGTGTATTGATCTCTATACTTTTATTTATCCTTTCTATAAACTGTAATTGGGTGGGCACCCCTTCTGTCCGTTTTATAATACTTTTGCTTATAAAAAAGATGTTAACAAACGAGAACACTTGACAAAACAATATAGAGCATAAACTAGGACAGGATATGAAACACATATGGTTATTTCACTTGGTCAAAAGATTAATAAATAGAATGTTATGACATTTGTAGTTGAGCACAATCACTCTCTTCAACCACCAGCCTATGTCCACGTGATTCGCTCTCATTTTTATATATTAAACTATCTCTAATTTTAAATCTAAATCATTCATTTTTCATGATATGTATCATAATCTTAGGCTTTACTAGGCTCAACAGTAATGGACAAGAGTCAGACTCCACTATTTGACGTAGTTGCGCCATGCACATGAAATGTTCTTCCATGCAAAGTAAAAATAAGTTTAACTAATGTGTCCCCAAAATCATAAGTAATGAAAATAAGACTTATATTTATTAATCTTTACCTGTTTACAATAACATGTAAAGGAATTTAATAATATTGTTAAATGTAAAAAAAATTATGATTTAGATCATTATTTATTTCTTAAACATGTATTTTAAAAGTATAATCGAAGAAAACATCAATAAAAATAAGGACGATAGAATAAATGCTTCCTTTGATGAAGCAAATCCATGTTTGGAAAAATGGTGTGATATCAATGATTGAACTTCAAAACTCAAATAATTTTATTACTTCAAGTCATACACAAATTTAATTAATATATGGATCAGGTGGAAACAATTAATTGGCTAAAACCATAGGGTATAGATTGACTAACACATGGGAGGGACCATTATCAATCATTGGGGCCAGTACTAATTTATGAAAACTTTTAATTATGTAAAATACTAAAATTTGAACAAAAATTTTTATATAACAAAACCATGAAGTACTTGTATGATATTGTTTCTAAAACAAGAATAGGAAAAATGACAAAATTATTAAAGTCATAATGTGAAATATAACAAAGTCAGTGTGAATGTTTGGAATATGTTATTACATTAGTCTCACATCACCTAGTATTGGAATAGAGTAGAGTAATCAATGTTTTATATTGGATTCAGGTCTTTTGTTGTAATGTGCACCAGATATAAGAACCAAATAGAAACACTCCACGGCACTTGGGCCCATGGGTGTGTCAGGGTTTGTAATCCTTATTCTCTAATAATATTTTGGTAGTCATTCAACGCTCACGGGGAAGTAGGCACAATTGGCCGAACTCCATTACCAAATTCTTTGTTTCTTCTCTTCTATTTATTCTATGCATTATTTGATTGCTTGTGACCAACGTTGCACAACTATCGATTTCGCTGCACCAACAATTGGTATCAGAGCCAATTGGTAGATGACTCTTAACCCAGGTGCTAGATAAAGGCAAAAGAGGGTGAAAGCATGTTGGTTATACAAGGTGCGTCAAAGGTATTATGCAAGGATAAAGGAGATGAGTTGAAGGAGAAGAAAACATGACATAACTATGGTGGGGGCGATATATGTTGATCCAGAATCCCAGAAGTTCATATATTGGATAAGTATCAAGGTGTGGAGATAGAGACTCAGGTGTTGAGTTTGGCTCTGAGACATATACTGACAATATCTCTCTAGATGTTAAGAGAATGATCTCATTTGAGATGAGAAGTGGAATATCTTAATGGCGTATCTGGGACGTCATAGTGAAGGATATTAATTGTTTGTAGATCCACAAAAACACAGAGTGTAACACCCTAAATTTGAAGTCTTTAAAATTATAGTATCAGTCCTGGGATCCTCGCCTGGGCGAGAGAGGCTCACCTGGGAGGGTGAAATCTTGGGGTATACTGGAAGATTCTCGCTTGAGCGAGAGTTGTCTCGCTTGGGCGAGAAATGGCATTTTGGGACTGTTGAGACTGTAAGATTCTCGCTTGAGCGAGAAGGTCAGATCTGAGTTTTTAAAATAGGCGGGATTTTCTCGCTTGAGCGAGAAAGGGCTCGCTTAAGCGAGAACCCGACGCTGTTACATTAAATAGGGGACCCCAAACACATTTATGAGGGTTAACCTAAAGAGAAGTGAGAGAAAGGAGCATTTTCAAGAGCAAGGAGGCTTGTGAGTCATTTAGAAGCTTGAGAAGAGGTAGATCTCTTGATTCTAACTCTCTTCTTCCCTTTGAAACTTGTTTTGGGGTATGTTGGATCTCTTCTCAAAATGAGAGAAACTATGGAAGGGTGCTTTTGAGTTATAGTTCGTTTTATGTGATTTTATCTTGTAAACTCTTGGTATAGAGTTAATATGTCGAGAAAGGATAGGGTTTGTGGGTTCATTCATGAAAAACCCCAAAACCCTAAAATGGAAATGAGTAAAATGCTAGAGGTAGAAGATGAGTTTACGTTCTAATAATGAAGTATGAAATGAATATGTAGGTTTTAGATGTTGTAAACTTATGATGAAAGTAGTTTAATAACATTGGAAATATGTGTAACATCCCAAAATTAGCAATTTTTGAATATAGTGGATATCAGGAAGTCTGGGAACTACTGGGTTATTCTCGCTTGAGCGAGAGGAGCTCGCCCAAGCGAGGGACTCAGTGTTGTTCCCAGGTATTTCCCTGGGAATCTCGCCTGAGCAAGATGGAGCTTGCTCAAGCGAGAGAGTGGTGTTGCTACTGGATAAATCTCGCCTGGGCGAGAAATTGTCGCCCGAGCGAGAGCATCAGTTCCTGAATGATGCGAAGAGTCGTGGGTTCTCGCCCAAGCGAGCCTACCCTCGCTTGAGCGAGAGTCTAAAATCATAAAACCTAAAATAGACGTCCCAAGTGAGAATTGGGTATTATTTTCGAAAAACAAATAGAAGAAGAACGGTTTGAGGAGTTGTGCACCCTTAGAGTCAAGGAAGAGACCGGAGAAGAGGTAAATCGCTTAGCCTAGCCTCTCTTATGGTTGAATATCATCATTATGAATGGGGTTTCTTCTCCATGTTTTGGGATAAAACCCCATAAACCCTCTCTTTGCATTTTGGTCCGTTTTACTTTGGAAAACCTTGTAAAACTCATAGTGTATGAGTTGTTTTTCAAAATGGGTGTGTGAGAAGTTGTTTTCAAAACCGTAGAGTCATGGCAACATTAAGGAAACCTTTTTGTTGAAGATGAAATGAACGAATAATGTTTTCTTGTGTTGTAGGAGTATTGGTTAGCATTGCTAGTGTTTTGATGTGTAAATTGATATGTTGTAATTGTTGTTGTGTTGGGTTGAAAGACCCTAAGGTTGGAGGAGACGGCGGAGAACGCAACTGAGCTTTAGTGCAAAGCATTAGCGACTACTTAGGTGAGGGAGCAACATTAAACCTTGTGGTATTAGAATCATGACATTGGAAACTCCAACGACACTCACTAGTTGGAGGATTTCATTTGGTTAACATGATTAAACGGGAAATCTCATGAGTTTCCTATTTAACCGCGTTAGTCCCATTGTTGTGAATGGCTTGTTTGACTATGATATGGAATTTGACCTGCCTTCGTGGTATGGAGTTTGACCTGCCTTCGTGGTATGGATTTTGACCTGCCTTCGTGGTATGGATTTTGACCAGCCTTCGTGGTATGGATTTTTGATATGCACATGTCTATGGATTCTTGATTTTGGTGTGATGGCTGAAAGTTGATTGTACTACGGATGGATGGTATAGTTATGATTACCGATTCATTGAGGATTATGGATGTGGTTGTGCTGAATGACGTGTATTCCTTTTTCGCAATGTCTAATGTTATTATTCTATTTAAATCCACCATGTTATATATTGCATGTATTTAATGAGTGACTCTCTCTATGTTGTCTTGTTTACTCAATCCGTGGTAATCGGATTGTAGGTGGAGCTAAGGAATAGGAACCTTCCGAGTCTTGGAGTAAATTAGCTTGCTTTGGTTTTGGCGTGTGATTTTCGAGTTATCTAGCGGATTGTTTATGTTGATATTGAACCCGTTTATGGGAATTGTTCACTCATGTTTTAATGTTCTTTTAATAGATTAAAAGACTAGTTTGTGGAATTATTGTATGGCGTTTTTCTATTATTGTCATCCATACTATTAGAGTGTTTTTTTTATTGAACTGAATTCTAAATGGAGGATTTATATATGAATTGTATTTTGTGTTAGAAAAGAATTGAATTTTTTCCGTGTTGGTAATTTGAGGCGTTACAATATGAGGAATATATTGTATGGTTAAATGATGCAATATAAGTTGTTTTTGAAATATTTGGAATAAATGACTAACATTGTGTTGTATGGTGGGAATGGGGAAAGATCCTAGAGTTGGCGGCGGTGTCGGTGGAACTAGTGCAATTACCAAAAACCCAACCCAACACTCATCAAGGTAAGGATAAGTCTTTAATTTGTATAATTGAAATGGAAAATGTGTATATTTTCTGGTTGTGCAAGGATTAATTGGTGTATCACGTATTTTATTATAAACATATATGGGTATGTTTGTAATAAGGATTGCGTGGATTCACTGGATATGATTGATAGTGAAATCAATGAAAAATGAAATATATTTTTAGCTAACCCTAAGGGGTGTAGCGACTTCGGCTCGAGTTTATGTAGCAACACTTCGCCCCGAGTTTATGTGGCAACACTTCGCCCCGAGTTTATGTGGCAACACTTTGGCTCGAGTTTATGTAGCAACACTTCGGCCCGAGTTTATGTGGCAACACTTCGGCTCGAGTTTATGTAGCAACACTTCGGTCTGAGTTTATGTGGCATGTTTTCTTTATAAAAGAGATGAGAAATTGTTTTTAGCTAACCCTAAGGGGTGTAGCG